GGGGCGATCAAAGGAAAGACTGTGAAAGAACTAACAAAAACACAAAAAAAAAAAGGAATTCCTTTTTTTAATATGAATTAATTATATATTTTTGCTTCAGAATTCCCATTAATCTAATTTTATTTAATTTTCATAAATAATTATTAACTAAATGTCAACCAGCTTAAGTCTTATATATATTACCCCAAACCAACTCTAAAGCAACCGAGAACGATATTTTACAGCAAAAAACGAACGGCGAAAAAGCTTCTATATTTTTAAACTTGTCGTACACTTTGACAACCCATTAATTATGCCAACACTCACTGGTCCAACAAACAAACTATCATCACCAACAAACTATACCTTTTGGAAGTTTTGAAAACTCAACTTGCAAATGCCCAAAAAGTCGACAGAGTAAAACTATTCTACAAATAAAAATGTCACCAATCATGAAATATTCACACCCTCATAAGCATAAAAACGAATGATTGAAACAACTTCGGAAGTCCTAACAAATACTACAATTCTTCGAAAACAATAAAAAAAAAAAGCTAAATAAAATGTGTCAATAGCTATACTCAACAAATAACAATTCCATCAAATTATTACTTATAGGTGCTTTGCTGAAAAAAAAAAACGACATCAAATAGGGTAACTATTTCATCCGATTGTATTCACTGCAACATTGAATGTTTAACATTATAGCCAATGTTATAACTAATATATTTGTCCTAATATAAAATGTTCCACCAAAACTTGTAAAAAAAAAACAGTAGAACAACATATCCCAACATCGTCACTCGTAATTTGCACCAGTTCAAATTGAAAACTTTTTAAACTCGTTAATTTAAGATGCACCCCAAATAAGCTGTATCAACAACACACACCTGCAAATTTCAGTCATTTTTTTTTTAATTTGAAAAAAAAAACTATTAGTCCATAGATCATCATTAGTCAACGGCACATTCTTCTTGGGCTAATTTTTTACGCTCTACGCTTTGCTGACTCGACGTTCTGAAGCAAACATTTATTTTTGCAAGACTAAAGCTCGGCTGCACCATCAGCAAATCCTAAATTTGTTTTAGCTACTGCCAAAAACACCAGAAGAACCATCCATCACAGTCGGTTTTCTGCCCTCACCTTCTCCTTTCCCCGAAAACAATGCAAAACCAAGAATAAACTGCTCGGGTCGCAACTGAATTCAGCGAAACTACACTCTTTTTCCTTTTTAACCACCCTAAAAAATATCTCAAGCGATTTCTTTTTACATGAAACAAAAAGAATTATTGCAAAGAATAAACTTCAACAATATGAAAATATATGTGCATAAGCTGCTGTTTAAATTGACATTTCTATACAGAAGATTAATATGTAAAAAATCAAACATTCAGCTTACTTATTACCGCAAAAACGTTTCAATCTCCCAAAACATCGCAAACCATTATTGATAAAATTGTCTCAATCACAAATTGTTATCATTCGAATAATTGTTAATTGTTTTCCGACTAAGTCGTAAAATTTTACATATAAATTCTGATGCTAAAAAACTATGAGCATGAATTTTTGACAGTGAATATAGATTTTACTCATAAAACAGTGGCAAATAGAGGTAGTTTCCTGACTTCATAGATCCAATAACCTTATTTATAATAAATAAAAACTGATCTATGCCGCTGAAAAATTAATAGGAAAAAAAAACAAACTCTAACCTCTCATACATCATACCGAGTCTCTGTTACCTAGAATAGTAGATGAATAAAAAGAGATCTCATCTGAATTATAAGTTTTAATAAATACTAAAGACGTAAGAATAGATAAAAAATGAATATTTACTCTTCATTTATTAATGAAAAAAGCTTCCAACGCTCAAAAAAATGTTGAAAAAAATACCCTTAACTCCTGCCAATAACCTTTTGGCCACTACAAAACCAAAACTACCGCCGTTTACGTCGTATATTCAATCCCCACTGTTCCAGAAACTTCAGCGCCATTTTATGTGTGATTCATTTCTAATCATTAACAAATAGCGAAGCATATCTCTACGCACAAAATATGTTTATTTTCCCTTGAACGAAAAAAAAGCCACAAAAACTCTAAAAATTTTTCATATACTTATG